TGGAATTCTCGCCTTAAACATTTAGCACACAAACCAATTCTTAAGGATCGTTAATCATAAACGATAAGCAGGAAAGCACAAAAACATTGAACAAAAACAAAGCTGCTATTTTTCTAGGGTTAGGGGCATAAATTCAGGGATAAAGAACCAGCCTATCTTTCGATTTAATAAATAGGGACAAGCGAAATACACAAAGCTTACACATAAACCCTAATCTACGAGGAAACCTTGCAAGATTAAAATATTTGAAAGAAAACGAAGGATTCAGAGGAATTGATGCGATCGATTGGATACAAAAACAAGAAAAGCATAGGATTATAGATCTACCTCCCAGAAAAGGACTACTTGAGGCAAATGCAAGAGCGAGGAGGTACGGCGACGGCGAGCGAGGAACGGGGAAGCTTGGAGCGACGGCGAATGTGGAACGGTGACGATGAGCGAGGCAACAGCGAAGGCACAGCGTCTTGAAAAACAACGAAGGGTTTGGGGAGGATAAGAATTTAGAGGATGAATATAAGAGACCCTTTTGCATCGGTTATTCCTAAAAACCGATGCAAAAGTATTTGCATCGGTTATTAGGAATAACCGATTCAAAAGGTTTTAGGTTTTTGCATCGGTTTTTAGGAATAACCGATGCAAATGCAAAGCGGTACGCGAAATTATTTTGTTTTTACATCGTTTGTTTTGCTTAGGGATGCAAATGTAGCGATTTATTTGGTCGTTTTTGTAGTAGTGAAATAGAGTTTATTTAGTTTCTATTCCATACTAGTAACATAATGTAACACAGTTCAATTCTGGACATATGTGGCAGTGTTTTGAAAAACATATCGGATAGCATAGTGGCCTTGGTGACTGAGAAAGGTAATGCTTAATTATTTACTTAATTTATTTAGCCCTTCCTTTAATGTTTTTTTAAAAATAATTATAATTATGATTAGTAATGGGTAACTGGTATTTATTTGTGTGTGATGGATGGTTTTAGGAGCACACCATGCTGATTTTAGGGCAGCTACTAGGGATGACCCCAAGTGGCTCATCCAACAAAGAGAGGAAGAGATTGAAATTCTTCACAAATGGATTGGGGAGTACTACTTTGATATCAACCAACATTGAACACAATACATTAGTGTAACTATATATTATCCCCCATATTCATACTTTTGTTATGCTTCTAACGCTTGAATACGGAGAGAAATATTGGTGAAATATATTTTAATAAGAATAAGTTAATTAATGCGAACATGTGCTTACATCATACACGAGCGCACTTCTTACACTACTTAGAAAGTGTTCAAATGTTTATTGAGCAATGCTAGGGGTACACCAAAAGGTGTAACTTTTTAGTGGACAAGGAGAGGGTGGGGGACATATGGGGTACACCTTTGGTGTACCCCTAGCATTTTTCGTGTTTATTACCCCCAATGAATCTCGTTTTTTGCAAAAAATAAATAAAATAATAAAAAATTTCTAATGTGAAAAGATCTATAAATAGTAGTGCATGTGGATCTTAGGTCCAAGAAATATTCTACTCACTCCGTTCTACAAAACAGTTCATGTTTTCACTTTTGTAGAATTTAATTTTGTATTTTGACTTTTCAATTAAATCATTAACGTCGAATAGAAAAGTGTAAAAAATTATTTAAATCACTTATTATATCAATACAAAATAGATGAAGTATATAAAAATGACTTTATTTGAATATATTAACCATTTTAATTAAAAAAGAAAGTGTTTTAAGGAAAATAATAAAACGAAAGAAGAAATGTTTTTACAAACAGAGGGAGTATTTGTCTTTACTACATTAAAGGGTTCGAAGTGCACGTGTGGTTTATTTTTAGAATAACATCCTCAAAAACTATACGTCTAATCGTCTATAACCAAATCCTCACCATACAATAACTCAAGCCAAGGAGTTCAAAACGTGTAACCAAAAAGGGTATCTTGATTGCACTTGGTTGCCTTAAAAAATTGCACTTTGTTGAATAAATTATCATATAAAAAAACATCAAACTCCAAAGTAAGTTTCACATTATATTGCATATAGGGTCTAACCCTAAGTAGCTCCAGTGCCTCATGTTTGGAAAATTGGAACTAATACCCCCTGTTTTAAAAACTTATTTCTGAATTTCTCTGTGGTCTCAAAACGTTGCACCCACACCCCTTCTGATCATTTTACGGCAAAGAGAGGACATTAATGTATATTTTGTTTAAACCATAGGGGACACTCGTGCTCAATTCTTATTTTTTGTTTATTATTTGGTTTTTCTCTCTTTTTTTCTATTTATTTCCTTTTTCCACAAAAGTTTTTTAAATTTGTTTTCAATTTCTTATAATTTTTTAAAAAATTCAAAATTTTTTGTGTTTTAAATAAAAAAGAATATATACTTGATCTATCTCAAATTAAACATTTCCACATTTTGTTTTCTAGAATAACTTTTTTGGTAAGTTCAAAAAGAAAATTTAGAATTAAAAAAAGGAAAAACGAAATGAAAGAAATTGAAACATGAAAAAAAACTTTATACAAAAAGGAATTGTCATTATTTTTTAGATCCATTTTTTATTTTTTCTAAAGTAAGACTAATCTTTAAAATAAGAAAAGGAAATGGATGTAAAAAATAATTTTAAAAATTTAAAAGAAAAATTCAAAAAATTTGAAAAACAAAAATTAATCAAAAATAGTCCCAATTTTCATTTTGTTAGGCAAAACAAACATTTTCGTTAAGCAACCCAAAACTTACAAATTTTAGTAAAGTTGAGATTATTAAGTATGAGAGTGAAATGTGTGATTACTTTTGAAAGACATGATAAAGTTGAGATTATTTTGGATAATTTTTCCTAGAAAAAAAAGAACATCAAATTTATAATTTTAAACCTATCGATGGTTTATTTTGCAATTTTATTTCTCAAAAAAACAAACCACAAATTCATCGTTCGCATATGCATCTTTATTAATTACCTAGTACACAATATATTTTAAAATTTTCTATCGTATTCTATATATGCATTGTATAAAGCACCAAGGTTCCCATGATATTGGAACCCAATGTCATGGAATGACCCGGGGCCGCTCCGGTGCTTCTTTCGTAAAATTGACGGTTCCTACCCACCCTAACCCCCCGGTAAATCTCCTCACCCTGCCCCCGACCCGAACACACCTCCCTACCCCCGTCAATTGCACCCACAAGTTGATTTTGACTTTGGAGTCAAATTTTGACTCTAAAGTCAAAATCAACTTGTGGGGTGCAATTGACAGGGGTAGGGGGGTGTGTTCGGGTTGGGGGCGAGGTGGGGGGATTTACCGGGGGGTTAGGGTGGGTAGAAACCGTCAATTTTACGAACGGAGCACCGGAGCAGCCCGGGTCATCCCATGACATTGGGTTCCAGTGTCATGGGAACCCCACCATGTATAAAGATGTGTCATTGAATAAACGATCCATTCGATATTTGTTATTTTAACTTTTACTCTGTATTAATTAAAATAATTTTCTTTATTATTTCAATGACTATTAATTTGTTTTCCCTATACTCCGTAATACTTTTTTACGCCACGGGTGCACACCATAAAATGCTTGAAGCCACAGTAGAATATTTAATTTTATACGGAGTATTAAATCATCATTGATTTTATTAATTTTTTACTCCGTATAAACGTGTAACTTTTTTAAATCATTCCTTCTAATTTGATTTAATCTGATTTGATTAAAATAGATTTGATCTAATTCTTAATCAAAGTATCATTTTATTATTATTATTATTATCATCATCATCATTATTATTATTATTATTACTATTATTATTATTATTATTATTATGATTATTATTATTATTTGTTTCATATTCATTATTATTAGTAGTATCATTATTATTTCCACATATTATTATTATCATCATCATCATCATCATTATTCACTACTACACATATGACATTTCACAGCCCACTTTACACAGTGCAAATTCGATAACCGCATTGTAAGCCCACATAATTCCGTGTGCCTAGTGCGGCCTTGTTTTTCTTTACAAATCTGGAAGTATTAATATTTTTGGTGTACTATAGCCATCAGATATTTTAGCACCCGCTGTGTAATACAAGTTATACAGTGTTTATGAGTTTTTATACGGTAGAGATTTGTTGAACGCCGCACTTTTCTTTGTTCTTATTTTTCTCCCCGCTATCAATTTCTCTATTCCATGGTGTTCTTCCCTCCGACTTTCTCTTTGGCTTCCCTTCAATTTCTCTTCCCTTCATTCTTGGATGACACGATTCCAATTTTCCAACTGAAATAGGAAGAAACACGATGGCAAATGTGCTGGCTTCTTAAAGGGTCGAGACAATGAGGTAATTCGATTTTAACTCTGAAATTGCTCGTGTGAAATTCATCTATGTAATTGATGGTTATTGTAAAAGAAATGTTATTTGTTAATTTTTTATGGTGAAATCCCATTGACACCACAGATATTTTCTAGGTTAAATGTTTTGAACGGAATTTGCATGTGGGGAGATCGGCTCCAAGGCGATCTAGTCGACCTCAGTTGCATCTAGGGTTCCTGGTTCCCAACAGTTAATTAAAGGTTCAAACACATATTGAATACTCTATAACTTGTATTTCTTTAGATATGTTCTAATTTTATCATGTTCTTTGATATACTGTATCTCAATAAAAGCTTAATTTTAATTTGTGACATCTATTTAGGGTCAAAATGGTTAAGGTTACAGGTAGTTGCTGTAAACTAAGTTGATTGGAATGGGCTTAGACTTGGTATTCCTATATTCCAATGATTGTCCAAATATTAGAATTCAAGTGAGTTATTTCTCAATGAAACTATTATTGTCTGGTTTTGTGTATGTTGCTTAATTAGTTTTCATTTCAGATTGAGGCTTCAAGCACTGGAATAAGAGGTGGTCAAGCTATTATTAAGAGAGTGTGCTTCATCTATCTCATTTAAACTATTACTACATATTAAAAAATAGTTTTGATTTGCTTTTTAAAAGAATACTCTATATTAAGTCTATGGTGCAGGTATGAAGTGCATGGATGGGTCCAGATTATGCTAGTTACTATCTCCTCTTTTTTATTTTTTATTTTGAATTTTATTATGTAATTTAAATTGAAATTGATGAACTTTTGAAGTGCAGGTATGAACATTATTTTTATCAAAAAGTTTTTCACTCATCCACTTGAAGACTCCGCTTAGAACAACGTAAACAGGAAGTTTGCTAACCGCAGAGGTATTCTTAATTCTTCTATAATTGTTAGTGTTAGTAGTGTTTAAGTTTTATTATTCCAATAACTTTGATATTGTGGAAATGTTATTATATCGTGTACTTTCAAATCTATACCAAATTATAAAATGAATCATAATCTTATATCATTTATTATATAAATACATCCCTACTATGACCTTTACTCTAATATTCTTCTATCATTTATAATCTTTAAATACAAAGCTAAAGTTTTTGTTGCTTAACTTTCAACTAATAATAATGTTGTGTTTAGGTTGGCTTATATGTAAGTGTGTCACAAGGTATCCCACTTCTGTAATACTTAGTTTTTTTTGTAAAACTTTAAGAAAAGGCATTAGATAATGAGTGAGGAAGCACTAAAGTAATTTGGAAGAACTTAGTAAGGCATATAACCATCTCTTCCCTTGCTTCAGACTCTGGTCTGGTTGAGGCCAGGGGAATTTGGAGAAGACAACGAACTGGGACAAGACTCCCAGAGTTGGGACATCTACTCTTTTCTTTTTTTCAGTTATTTTTATATTGGATTTTAGGAGGGAAATGAGTTGTCTCATAGTTTTGTTTTTAGCTAGTAGATCCTTTTGAACATTTTTGTTGCCTTTTTGGCTATTGATAGTTAATCTTAAGTATAACAACTTTTGTTAATTTTTTGTCTCTCCTGTTTTTACTTGATTATACTTGTGTACTTTGTACTCTTTTTTCATCAATAATATTTTTTTTTTCATCCCTTGATTCTGCAAACTAGCAGCTGCTTCAAATAGGGAAGGCTACGATTATGAGTTCGGTAGATAGCATACTCATAATGGCACTAAAGTGCTTCTATAATCGTGGTTATTGGCTCTTTTAATTTTTTATGACTTACGCTATTGTATTTTCTGTTGTTGCTCTTTTATTTTATTGTTTCTGTATTGTGATAAACTAAAGTTGGTTGTTTAATGGTGCTACTGCTCTATGTAGTTGATCTGTCTACTAAGTTTTGGCTTTAGTTGAAAGATTTTAGCGGGGGAGCTCTAAAGAACAATTTTGTATGATGGCCTAGGATCTAACTACAGGTGCTTGTGGATTTATTTCTCCTTTAGAAGCTCTTTTATGAGTACTTGGTACAAAATGGCTTGACTTTGTCCCAATCACTGTCTTCCAGTGGGAAATAACACTTAATGGTTGGGTTCCATTTTTGTTACACAAATGGTCTTAATAATTTACATTGCATTCATGCTACTATTAATGTATAAAAGATTTCAGATTGCTCAACTTACATTCTTTTGATGATGCATCTTGATACATATTTATTTTGCAGGTTGTCTTGAGGAAATTATCTGGACTGGTTTACCCTTCTCCCTTCACTAAGAGAATTCATACTTAACTTATCCAAAATGTATTTCTTGAGTTTATCTATTGGAAGAAAGAAATTGGTTTAGGATTACAATTTCAGGTTTAGTAACTCCATTTTGGGTATGACCATTGGAATGAAATTGATTTGGGATTGCCATTTTAGGTTTAGAAATTCTATTTTGGATATGAACATAAACATTGTTCCTAAGCTGTCAAGTTAGGATCTCTTACAGGTTTTTGGGTTGGTGTTTCTCATCAAATCAGATGTTGTTCACTACTCCGGCATTCGAAGAAAGAACACACATCTATTATACTCTTAGTATGCAGTAATGTTAAATGGCTAGAATGTTTATTATTAGTTTACAAAAACTTGAAGTTAATCCTGCTCCTCTTGCTTCGTTGGATCCCTATATTTTGAACAGGTTAATGCTGTGAAGACTTGGTTTCATTTATGAAACTAAGACTGTCAATTCTTGTATAAAGGGGGGTTAATGTTATGCACGCAAGTTTGAGTTTGTATACAACTCCCATAGGTCTTTGCAAAAGATGTTCATCAGTAGGTCTGGGTATCTTAAGATATGGCCAGGGGTCTACACCTACGAATGCTGCAAATTGAAGTTGACACTTTGGTTAAGTATTCCTAGTTTAATTTTTTGTACTGTGTAATATTTAAGGTGTTGGGTGGGCTTAGAACTGTGTAATAATGTATTTCGATCGTTGTCTTTCTGAAGGGCTTTGGTTTGGTCCTCCCTTCTTGTATTTTTCTTTCTTTGTCTTATTTTAATAAAACTTATTTTTTATGTGTATGTGTGTGCCTATAAATAAATAAACAAACAAACATATATATATATATGTATATATATATATATATATTATTTTACACATTATTAAAAAAAATTTATGCTTTATACAGCGGATAAATAAGGGTTTTCACATCGCAAAAAGAACCGCTCTCTATGCCACCGATGGGAAAGATCTTACGTTTAGACATCGGATATTTATCCGCTGTGTAAAGTTTACACAGCGGATATTTTATCCGCTGTGTAAAGTTTACACAGCGGATAAATATCCGATGTCTAAACGTGAGATCTTTCCCATCGGTGGCATAGGCAGCGGTTCTTTTTGCGATGTGAAAACCCTTATTTATCCGCTGTGTAAAGTGTATTCTGTAGTAGTGATTGTTATTGTTATTATTATTTTTTGTTGTTGTTATTACTACTACTACCTATAACATTAATAATATTGTTTATGTGTTTTAGAAAACAAAAAAATTATAATCAATTGAACTGTTATTATTAATATTATTTGCATAGTAATAAAAGTAGTAATTATTATTATTATTTACTATGATTATTATAACATTTTTTACTTTTAAAAAGTCTTTGGTATTATCTGATTTTAGTACAATAAGTAATAAGTACAAAAACTAAATTAAAGAGAACAAGGACTAACTCGAGGCAAATTATATTATACATTCAGTACAACCAAGAAATTATTTATGGTATGAAATTTATTTTACATGAGAATGTACACTAAGTTATTTGAGAATGAGTACTGTTTTGTTTCAGAATGAACACTACATTACTTGTAGATGACTATTATAATTATATTGAACCAATGTGTGAAAATGAGTACTGCATTATATTAGAATGAGTATCACGCTAATTATATTTGTATGAGAATGAGTACTACTCTACTTCAGAATGAGTACTATCCGGATGTACCGTACATTCGGTTGTACCATATACCTTCTCCTAACTGGAGGACCCATGACAACTCATCATGCATTTTATGGAGCATGTATATGGTACAACCAATTGTACCTAGAGATAGCTACAACCATGTAGTACTCATTCAATTCTGAATAAAAGTAATACTCATTCCCGTATAAACATAAGCGTTAATTTTAAAATATAGAAATAACCCTAAATTGGACTAAACATAGAGAAAAGTACCAAAATAGGACTTTCATATTTTTTCTGAAATAGGATTTTGCACTGTTGTAATGTTGCAGTGTACATGTGCAAATTACTATACGTCTATACTTTTTTGGTAATGTATATAACCATGTATTGTAATGCAAGTCCTATTTCCGGAATAAAAACATGGAATACCTATTTTGGTATATTTTTAATGTTTTAGGGAGAAAAACCAAAATAGCACTCTTAGAGTCTTAAAATACTCTCAATAGCAGTGCTATATGTTTTGCACACGTGATTCTGATTTTGTCCTTTAATTAAACAGCCAATATTCATTACACACTGCTTTAAAATATGACTCTTTTGGGCAGTGTGGTTGTTCACTTGTAACCGTGTAGTGGGCAGTATGGTTTTTATATGTGAGTATTTAATGTGACAGTGTAGAATGGATATATGTTGTTATATCTTACGACAGTGTGTAAGTATATTATTGTGTTTCTTAATTTCATGTTAAAGTGTAATGTCCATCAATTTATGTGGCAGTCCTTTCATGTATAAATTATAAACTGTCAAAAAGTGTATGACTGTTTTCATGTATGAATTTCACACTGCCAAAAAAGTGCATGGCTCCGTTTATGTATGAATTCCAGACTATTTTTGTGTATGAATTCCACACTTCCAAAAATATGTATGACTATTTTCATGTGTGAATTCCACATTGTCTAAAAATGTATAACCGATTTCATGAATAATCTATTGCACCAAAACACACTGGCTAAACATTGGTGTTAAATATGGAACTTAAATTAATACGTACAAACTTGTTTAGGCATTATACATCGATAAACTACGTATGAGGAGGATCTCGCAGAGCTATGGTAAACGGCGTAAGATGATGTTCTCGCACATATGGGACGTATGAATGAGGAGGAGCCGCACATATGAGAAGGAGTGGCTACGTGAATAACCTAAGTTTAATCACATAATTAAAAATAATTAAAAAATAGTAGAATATAATAGAAGGTAGATGGTATGCTTGGAAGATATTGACACTATAAATAGCTAAATTCGTATAAAAGATTAAGAAGTGCTATATGCGTAATATTGAGTGACTTAGAATGCTACGTAGGTCATACTTAGTAATATACGGCAAACGTATTAGGATTTTGTAAAATACGGCTTACTATGCATATTAAACGTTCGGCATACGGATGCGGATATATACGCGCTTCAAACGTTTTCTATTTTTAAAATACGTCTTAATATATGTTTATATATATTATCATATATACGTCAAATTTACACATATTTATCAATTGATAGTCATATAAACAAAGTATAAAAATCTTTTAAATGAAATATTTACAATAGATTTTTTCAAATTAGAATCTTTATTTATTTAGCATATCTATTTGAAAAAAAAAATTACACTCCTGCATGTCATTTGAAAAAATATCCTTATTTGACTTTCACGTACGTACGTAATTAATTTAAAAAATGTTAAAAGTAAAAACTTTATAGTTTGAATATATTTAGAAAAAAACAAATAAGAGTTGTGAGTTACCATACTTATTCTTTTCTTAAAAGAAAATGAATTTTTGAGACATACATAAAGAGAAAGAGTGAAGTCTTTTTTTAAACGTGAAAAAAGAGTATAAACTTCTTTGTAGAATGTAGATATTACTCACTCCGTCCCATTTTAAATTACTTGTTTTTCTTTTTTGTCCGTCCCAAAATAAGTTGCTTGTTTCTTATTATGGTAAATTTTAAGGGTAAAATACCTAAACTATCCCTAAAATAAGTCACTCCTCTCCAGCTTATCTTCTCATTCATCGTCACCTCTCTGAAAAGTAAGGACATTTTTGAAAAATCAACAATATTTTTTCACTTCCTTAAATATGCCCCAAATTCAATACAGACAATATAAAATGGGACGGAGGGAGTATATCTTTTTTCAAATTGATTGAGTATTGTATGTATAACTGATATGAAGTATTATTCGTATTTTGTTTAAATATTTTTTGGAACAAATTAGTATTTATTGTTGTACAAAAAAAATTTGTAATGAAATATTCAATTCATATGTACTATATGTAATTATACGTATAGTATCAAATATACGTGTATTTTAAAGTACTTTTGAAAATAATACGGATACATAAGTATAATACGGGTATTATACGCGTGTTAACTAACTAGGACCTAGGGTGATTCGTTAACCTTTTTCTACCCTTTTTCATAAATTCTTCCCTCTTCCCCTGTAAAAAAAGGCATAATATTACTTATGGGTGACGCTAGTTTTGTAGAAATAACTCTCAGGTTCTTCTATTTTCAAGAAGACAACTCAGGTCCTTATATTTTGTTGTAATGAATGGGAGGACACATTTCATCCAATATTTCATCCATAAGTGTTAATAAATGTATTTTTTTCCTTTTTTTCATTGCCGTTTTTCCTATTTTGCCATTACTCGGTTTTTTCTTTTTTAAAAAATATTTTAATTAATTTATTTTAATATAATACAAACAATTTTGAATTTTTATCCGATTTTATAGAAGAAATTCTAAAATAACACTTTAAAAAAGAGTAACAAAAAAAGAAAAATAAAGAAATAAAAAAAGGAGCGACCTAAGATTTATTATCTTAAAATATTTAGAAAAAAAGGAAAAAAATACATTTATTTACGTTTATGGATGAAATATTGGGTGAAATGTCCCCTCCCAGTCATTACAACAAAATGTAAGGACCTCTGTTGTCTTCTTGAAAATAGAGAAACCTGAGAGTTATTTCGATAAAACCTGTGAGTAATTTTTTGAGAAAAAGGTTAGACTAATAATGTAGAAAAATGCTTTGTCATTTGGAATTTGGTGTGGCGGTCCATAGAGTGTCGGTTTGGAACGTGTGAGAGCGTTGAAATGTTTTGAATTTGTTTCAGACTCACAATCAAAGTAAAAAAAAAAAAAGTGGCCGACGCTGAATAACGTTTCCTTCATCAATCATAAATGACCACAGCGTAGCTAATAGCAACACGAATCCTTGAATCAGTAAAGAAATTGAATGCTTCTCAGCTTGTGGATATCAAGAGTATGAAAGTGACCTGACCTCCCCCCTATAAATCTCAAGAACCCATTAGTTAATAACAGGAAATTCGATTTCTTTTCTGAATTTCTTGAGAGGGATAGAGCGTGATGTCAAGGAGATCTGGGAATTGCTTAAGGTGCTGCCTGGTGATCTTTGCTGTGGTCTCAGCTCTGTGTGTGTCTGGGCCTGCCCTTTACTGGAAATTCAACAAAGCTCTAAAGATCAAATCCTCTTGCCCTCCTTGCAAATGTGACTGCTCTCCACCTCTTTCCATTCTAGATGTTGCTCCTGGTATACTTCTTTTACTTTGTCCCACCCAAAGATCCAGTTTTTTTAGGACTGTATAGTTTTTGTTTCCGGTTACTTTACAAGTATACTTTCAACCTTTTATGCATTTGTTATTTGATTTTGTTGCCCTTTGTTCGAAATCTTTGGTTTTCCAGTTCTTTACTAATTGCTATTACTGCAAATTGTGTCTTTGAGCAGTTTCCTATAATTAGTTCTTGTTCCTTAGTTGGGATTATTTTGTTTATCTTGTCAACAATATATGACGGGATTCTGGTTGTGATGTATGAGCTAATTTCCCTATGTGCATACCTGCATACTAAGCAGTGTTGGTACAGCTGATCAAAGTTTGGTTCATAACTCTATTGCTGCTAATAAGTGATCGTATGTGTTTAACTACTTCTCGGAAAATTTCCATTTGATTAGGTGTTTGTGTTTGGTTCATAAAGTGCCACAACTAAAAAAGTCATTATTGACAATGTTTTATTTTCAGCCACATAGTGGAGTAAATCAAAATGGAACATTAAACTTCCTTTGCTTCTTATATTCTTTGATGTTTTGGGTAGTAAATGCAGCAATGCATCTAGGGTCTAACGGAAACCTCTCTGTTCTTACAAGGGCAAGGCTGCGTACATCTTGACCCCTTAGACCCCAACGAAGTTGGAATTATGCTTTGTTGTTTTCGTTTTTGTTGTTGATCCTTGGCTTTAAGGCATTTCATTTTGATGCGCTCAAGCTAAGCATGATTCGAACAATCTATATGCTTTTTGGCATATACTGTTGCCATTGTTTTCTGAATAATCTAACCTTTGAACATTGCTTAGCATGCGCGGTTACATATTAGTGCTATACTACTATTTCTTATCTTTATGAATCTAACCCCTCCATTATGGCCAGACAAGTTATGCCCAACCTACCCTCTGTGTACTTTGTAGCTCAGACTAATGATAGGGATATGTACCGGAACACCTCTGTTCTAACAGTTTCCCTTCTAATCAAATGCAGTTGCCAGTAGTCGGACTGGTCATTATTTGTTCAGATGTGCGTTTTGCCTTTTTTTGTAATAATAAGTACATTACAACATCAGCAGTTATGAGGTTAAACAAATAATTATGAGCCACTTATTTTTTGGATGCCAATGCTAGATGCATTTATGCTGTGAATGTCACACAAGATACGTGGCATTTTAGATTTGTCCATAAAGTTCTTTTAAAAAACTTCCTACAGTGCTTACAAAGGTAGATAGCTGAACTACCAGTTTCTACTTTTTGTATGATGCAACAAAATTAGTATTACTTTTGACGTATAATGCTGAGGGAGAATGTAGTTCTATCTATTTCTAAGGTCATATGGTTGATACGGAGTAAAAGTTATATGGTCATAGGCCATAAAAGAGACATTGCGTCTTTACTGCATTCAATGTGTAGTTCTTTTCAGAAAATATAATGCCTGCTTGAGTCCTATTACTAGAGGATACCAACTCCAATTGTACTGGTGGTAAAGCCAATGTTTTGAGAAAGAATTCTGGTAGAGAAGGGTGTAGCCTTTTGTTCTTAAGATTTGGCCATCTTATCATCTAGTAAGTAATATGATATGTTGTTACCTCTTTTCTACCAAAAAAAGTCATTTTTCCCAAAAAATGTGTTTCGTCTACAAAAGAAACTTTTCTATTTCAACAAAAACTACTTTTTCGTTATTGTAATAGCTTAAAAACACAAGAGTGAAGAAAAAATGAAATATGTTAAACATTAATTAGAAAAACACAAGTACCATTGGCGATTTATGATAGTTGTAGCTAACGAAAATTAAATTCTGTTTGTTGACTCTAGTTTGGGGGATGGAGATCGTATGGAGCCTAGTTAGTTAATGCGCATATAATGTGCATATTTTATGTATAGTTTTCTTATTCCTATAATTTACAATATAGTCGTTTTCATGGAAAATTGTATAATACACTAATTTTTATGTATTTTACAGTTATTTATCTCATTTCTTTTTCTTTTTTTTCTTTGTTTTGTTTGGTCCACAATTGGTGCACATGGGATAAGGCTAGGGCTAAGATATCCTGGCCAGCCAATGAAGTTGTGCCACGTAGGGTTGATTGGTTTGTCAGATTTTTTTGTCTGGTACAAATTTTCTCTCGAAAAGCCTATCTTGCTCAAATTTTCCATCTGAACAACTATTCCTTTGGTGGTGACTTCAAATTCCAAACTGTTTTGGAGTTTCAAGTTTTTGAATGTTGTAGACTTTTATATTCTGATTTTGAAACACATTATCTAATCCCAAGACATTTTTTTTCTTTTGTTCCTCAAATTTTTCTGAGCATTTTTCGCTTCTAGTTCATGTTCGCTTTCTGATCCATAGCGTTTTTCATGCTTGATTTCAGACCGTTTTCACTATTTTGACCCAATTTTTGTGACTTTAATTGTAGAGAGACTTATATGTGCACCTAAATTGTAATTACGTGTAATCATTTTCCATAGTGTTTTTGTTGATTTTGCCATTTAAGAATAATTTGAATGTTGGTGCAGATTTATAATTTTAATCATGTTGGAACTTCAAACATTTGCCTGCTTAATATATTTTTTCTTGTTGACTTGTTAAACATTTTGGCGTTATGTATTTCCCCACGGTTCTTTTGACACCCATTTTGGGTGTCATAATTTGACATCAGGGTCTTACACCGTGGGGTTCGGCCCAGGGCTAGGATCTACCCCCTAACCCACCCTACAAACTCAACCGCTCACCTCCCCTGCCCCCTTACCCCCATCCACAACCCCCAGACCTCCTGTAATTTGACAAAATACTATAGTAGCCCCAATGGCTTAATGTTGTATTATGAATCCGAGGACCGATGTCAAAAGTACCGGACTCATGTATTTTTGTTTGGAGTTGTTTGTTATAGATACTACGTCTTAGTTGGCTTAATTTATATTAAAGCAAGTTTGCTGTTATTTTTAATTTGCTTTTCATGATTTATGACTATGATTTTATGGTGTGTATTAGTCATCAAGTTTTATAAATTGGTTGCCCGTATATTCATGAATAAATATATGTGTGTTATAAGAAGTATTTTTGAACTATGAACCATTTTACATGTGTATGTATCTGTACATGTATACGCCGAATGTTTAAAACATATTGTACGCCACATTTTATAAACTCCTCTCGTTTTATACACATACATATGTATTGCCATATTATACATCTAGCATATGTCTTTCCTTCATAGGCTAAGAGACACTATGGTAAGGGATTTTGAAGGAAAAGGGAGGAATGATATTTATTTTATTAATTTATTCTTATATTAGTTGGTTAGAAGGGTAGTTAAACTGAACATTCATTAAGAAATGCACGTTTTTATTAAGAAGATACTTATAATCTGATATAACATTACAAAATATGGAGTATCAATTGATTAGCACCAATTTAAACCAAACAAAGCATAAAATAATGGTGATGGTTTTTGGGATACCGGAAATGAAATGGTTTAGCCTGCCGATGGTTATTCTGTTCTACTTCTACCCTCAAATGGCCACCTATTTGCCAAGTTATATGGGATGAAAAAGGAAAACTACCAACAAATAGAAAGTTGCACGCAAACACCCTTTGACACTCGAACCTGGTTAACCCTAAGATCCCTAGACACAACAAACCGTACCTACATGTGCCCGAACTATTTCGGTTGCAGTATTTATTATGAATTGCCAGACCTTATTTGTTTATGAATTTTGTTTTTTGTGGTTTTCACAAACTAAAAAGATCTGTATTACTCCGTATTAATTTTTGAGTGTAATGCATTTTACCTATGAGGCATTAATGTATGCCTTGTGAGACCAAATCAAAATCTTTATCAATGCGTAATCTAGCAAAAAGATCATTTTCATTAATGCCTTAGTCCTATTTAGATGGGATTGTGACATGAATGAAATTGAGTCAGGTTCATTTTAAGGCTAAAATAATTTATAACACGAAGCATGATCATCAAACCCTTGTGCTCTAGTTTCCGTTTGCTGGATATATATATATATATATATATATATATATATATATATATATATATATATATATTGCTGCATTGTTAAGTTCAATGATCTAATTATCATCTCTTTTCTTGCTATGGCAGGTCTGGCGAACCTCACAGTTAAAGGTAAATGTTTCCGAGCCCTTTTTTCTTCGATTGAGGATTTCAATTAGTCAGTCTCATTGCTAAGTGGCAAAACAAGGGAAGAAATATTTCATGAACACTACTCCCCTCCGTTTTATATTTTTCTTCCCCTTTCCTTAAATTTAAATACCATTAACTTTTTTTACAACTTAAAGACTACTTCACTCTTACTTTTGCACTATTCGCCTTTTTTACATCTCTCCTCAAGTTAGGGCATGTTCTCTTCACCTGCCTGATGTGATTGGTTCTAATCTGATTGGAATAAGTTCTGATCTGACCTGATTCAGCCTGATATGATTACAATTATATTTAAAACTGATTCTGATCTGGTCTAATAGTGAAGCATGCTAATTAATCGTGAAGCATACCAATTAAGGGAACGTTGTCTAACTTGTTCTGCCATTCGTTTGTAATGCACACAACATGACAGACTGTGGGAGGGACAACCCGGATCTCAAGGACGAGATGGAGAAGCAGTACGTAGATTTGGTGTCGGAGGAGCTAAAGCTGCAGGAAACAGTGGACAAAGAGCGCGCCCGGCGCATGAACATCACAGTCACGGAAGCCAGAAGGTTGGCTTGGGAGTACCAGCAGGAGGCCGAGAAGTGTAATACGGCAACCGAAACATGCGAGGTGAGGAGAGAGGGAGCCCAAGTTCTGCTGGCCAAGGAGAAGAAGTTGTCTGCTCTGTGGGAGAAAAGGGCACGCCAATTGGGCTGGTCTGGGAATCAACACTAGACTAGACTAGACTACCTTTGGTTTTTGTATCTTTAATTACATGAAGGGTGTTTGTTTACTTGTATGTAGTGATTTAAGTGAATAGAATAGTAGAACATTTATTTCTTTAATCATTGATGCATTATATGAGAAATCCAAATGTATGTAGTACATCTGTGTCATTTTTACAGTTTTTAAATGAATAATGTTCATTATTGTTTTGAATTATTATCATTATTTTTTATTGAATATTGTTCATTCTATTGGTGTCACTTTATTTTCTTTATAAAGTACCTACTCCATATCTTTCATCTATAATTAATGATATATACGAGTATTGCAATAATATTTTTGCCTGAATTCTAATTTAAAGATAATATTTTACACGGAGTATTTAATTATTATGACACTTATTAATCTAATCTTTTTTCATTTCAATCATACTCCATCCGTTTCACAATGGATATCATTATTCAAAATTTACGATAATTTTAATTTATTTTTTTACTGCTTATTCGATAAAATAAATATTGTTTTGATATCTTGTTTTGTAAATTTTTTGATGTATTTTTCTAGATATGTAAGTACTCCATACCTTTTATTTTTCCAACAATTTTTAAAATAAACTAAATTGAAAAAAAAAGAAAGAAAAATAGGAATGATTTAAATCTAGATGTAGATAACCGTTTGAACGTGAAGCTTTTAGATATAAATTCGGACCACAGCACACTCCAAGATCAGTTCGTAGCCATGAGAATAAATATCATAAGCCGCAATATTTTCATATGGGGCTACAAACACCGACATATTGACGTAAATATCCCTTTTCGCCATCCCTCCTTCTCCAGATCCTACTTGAATTCAAATCCCCTTTCCCAAACTCGACCTGAGAAGAATCCACAGACCCACTCACAGTCTGATCCTACAGTAACCCTTTATGACAATAACCAAGAGATCAGTAGCCTTGGGCATCGGGGAAAAGTTGTCGAGGCCAGGAGAGTGTTCGATGGAATGCCCCACAGAGATATTGTCTCCTATGCGTCAATGGTAAATGTTTATGTGAAGAATAAGGAGCTTGTGGAAGCCGAAAGCCTTTACCTTTCCATGCCAGAAAGGAATGTCGTGTCTGACTCTGCAATGATTGATGGTTATGCCAAGGCTGGGAGAATAGACGAGGCTCGGAGGCTCTTTGATGGAATGCCCGGCAAGAATGTCTACTCTTGGACCAGTTTGGTTTCTGGGTATTTTCACATTGGAAATGTGGATGAAGCACGTAGGTTGTTTCGGCAGATGCCCGAGAAAAATGACGTTTCATGGACTGCAGCTTTGATGGGCTTTGCGAGGAATGGGTTGATTGAAGAAGCACGTAGTAATTTCGACGAAATGCCCCATAGGAATGTCATTGCTTGGACTGCCATGATCAGGGCTTATATTGAGAACCATGACCTTGATAGAGCGCTCAAACTCTTTGAGCTAATGCCAGAGCGTAATTTATATTCGTGGAATGTTATTATTCAAGGCTGTTTCGATTATCTTAGGGTGGATGAGGCTATGGAACTATTTAATAGAATGCCAAGGAAAAATGAGGTCTCTTGGACCATAATGGTAACTGGTCTTGCACACAATGGGCTGACAGAATCAGCAAGGATGTATTTTGATCAGATGCCGTATAAAGATGTGGCAGCCTGGAATGCTATGATCTCTGTTTACTCTGGTGAAGGCCTGATGAGCAAAGCTTCTGAGCTTTTTGAATCGATGCCAAATAAGAATGTTATCAGTTGGAATACGATGATTGATGGATATGCCAAAAGTGGAGCTGATGGTGAAGCCATGAAGCTTTTTCGATCCATGCTTCGATATGGAAGAAGGCCAAACCAAACTACTATTACCAGTGTCCTGACTTCATGCAGTGGTGATCTTGAGTTATTGCAGATTCACGCACTGGCCTTACTGCTAGGGTTAGAACATGAGGTGTCCGTCACTAATTCTCTGATCACCCTGTATTCTAGAAATGGAGACCTTACCTCCTCGATGATTGCTTTCGAAAACCATAAAACGAAGGATGTTGTGTCATGGACTGCAATGATACTTGCATATGCTTATCATGGTCTTGCCATTCACGCATTGCAAACCTTTGCACAAATGCTAAGATCAGGAGAGAAGCCCGATGACATCACATTTGTGGGCGTGTTGTCAGCATGCAGTCATGCAGGTTTGGTGATGAAGGGTCAGAAGCTTTTTGATGCCATGGTGCATGCCTATGGACTAAAACCAAGATCTGAGCACTACTGTTGCCTTGTCGATATTTTAGGAAGGGCTCGGCTCCTTGACAAGGCTATGAGGGTTGTGGCACATATGCCACCAGAAGAGGTAGATGGGGCTGTCTTAGGGGCACTACTTGGCGCGTGCAAACTATATGGAGATGCCGCACTAGCAAGCCAGATTGGGAATGAACTTATCAAACTTGAGCCGAGTAGTTCCGGTGCTTATGTACTCTTGGCAAATGCATATGCTGCTTCTGGTAACTGGGACAATTTTGCACAGGTACGCAAGAAGATGAAACGAAGGGAGGTAAAAAAGGTGCCCGGGTTTAGTCAAATAGAAGTCAGTGGTAAGTGTCATGTATTTTGTGTGGGGGATAGGTCCCATACTGAAATGAGTCAGATCTATGAGGTGCTGCAAGAGAAGCTTCAGCCTTTGATGCGGGAAACGGTTTTAAGTTATCAAGACCCTCTCTTTAGTGATGTAGTGTTAATCTAACTTTGACAAGTACTACTTTGCTTACCTACCTGCAACTCTGCAAGTGCAGTATAACACATGGAGATCAATGCAAAGGTGGTCTACTGGTACTTTTAATCTTTAAGGCAAAATTTTCATTTTCTCCATTGGATTAATCACACAATTCTTTTATGTAATGTTGTGATTAGTTTACAAATTAATTTAGATTCCGATTGCCATATTGAGTATGGCCTTTTTTTGGAAACAATATTTTCAGTGAGCGTTTTGGATCATTTTTAATGGTGCATATTCACTTAGAAAATGCTAAAGCTTAACACCGCCATTAGATAGTGTTTTCAAAATGCTAAAGCGAAATGCTGAAGTTGTTTCCAAACGGGCACTATGTCTCCGAAAACCTGAACAGCTAACTGCACCAGAACATACATTAATTTATTATCTGATTGCCACATGGAGATTTCTATCTTCCTATAAATTCCTAGTGGATCTTTCTATTTTGCTTCATGTTATGCTTATAAATGGTTAGCAGTGAGAGAAGTATAATCAATCATCAAGAGCAGGGGATAATTACTATGATATTCAGTAATCTGTTAAAAACATAAAAGAACTCTAGCATGAATATACATATGGCAAGCATGGCAAGTTTGCTAGCTCCATGTTGCAAAATTGCATGAGGATAAATGAAATAAAAAAAAATCAGATAACTGTGCATTAGAAGTGTGAAGAAAAAAAGAACCCATAAACCAATGTGACACAAGGAAAAATCTAAGAGACATGCAATTTTTGACAATCCGTGTCTGCTAGATGAAGGACGAAAGCTGATAAAGACATCCTGCCCCTAGTTGATCCTCTGTACTATTTTTCAAATGAATCTGTTAAAGGCGGTACATGCTGCACCTCTTTGTCTTATTCACAAGCCATATGAGCATTCATCAAATCTCAATCCAAACTCTCCATATAACACGTCTCCATTTTGGTCCTGCATCATGTGAAATGTTTCCTTAAGGAACTACAATAAGAACCTTGTGGTGTATAGTGACAATGAAGGGTTTCCCATTTCCACAATATATCATCATGAACCAAAATCAAGCTGCACTGTGGACGGTGTTAGTATTTATTGATGCACTTCATTACACACACAGACACTAAAAATTTACTCTCTTATGTCCATAGCTCAATGGTTGTTTAAAATGATGATAATTCCATGGAATCTTTAGTTGACATATTCTTGTACTTCAATTAGTTAAAGCTGTAACTTTGTTCTCAAAAAGCACTCAAACCTTTTTTTGTTTAATAATGTTGTGAAAATTCCAACCGATTCTATTCAACATTGTTTTTAGAAAAAACAATGGGCCTGCTGCTATTTACAAGTTATATGACATATCCATTTATATTAGCTGTTCACACAGTTCAAACAATGCTATTTCAGATATATCAAGAACAAAAGAGACACGTTCTGGAAGTCATACCTGCTTCAGTATTGCATCCATTAAATCACCAAAAGATTCACTACCCTGAGAGCCATTATTAAGCAGTGTCTTTGCAGAGTTCAAAAGGTAGTCTTCATTGCTTCTCACCCTCGAGTCTTGAAGGTGAACCGAAGAACCTCCATTTGCTTGACCAATTAAAGATGTATCCATCCTTCTATTGAAGACATCGTAATTCTGGTCAACACCCTGGCTTATAATAAAAGGCATCATGTCATACCATTAGTCAAGTTGTGATTCTTTTCATGCTCTTCCCACAGTAGGCTAGGTATCTGATTGCCTGTGAGAGCTTCATGGTTTGGTGTTAAACCCCCCGTTCCCTCTTCAGGAAGCATAGAAGCAGAGGCAGTAGAAGAATGACAAAGAAGAGGGCTGCCCGGTAAGTGAGGGTCGGATGTAGAATAATTCCATCCATCTTTATTTTTACTCAACTGGCTGCTGAGACCAAAAGCTTCTGTCAATAAATAAGGGTGGTTTGCCTGCACGTTTGAAACCAGAGCAGGATTCTGCAGAGTTTCATTTGATCCTCCTCCATGGTCAAGGAAGTTAGAAGCGTCCTTACTTAATGGATCAGACCATAAAGAATTTGGGTTTCCTAACCCTTCCCTTTTCTGTCCATACTGGGAGTTCCTTTGAAGAATCATAGTATTGATTGAGTTGCCCATAGAAGATCCAGAGCCTGTGCATATACTACTAGTAGCTGTAAGAAGCCTTGAGTTTCCCAACTGATTGAGGCCCAGTACACTTGTGGTAAACTTACTGTGTTGGACGTGGTCAAGCTCCAGTGACGGAGTGCCTAGGAAAGAACTAATTGAGCTTTGGCCATTCGAGTTCAACTTCCCCAGATGACCAAGGGTGAGGTTTCCTAAAGTTTGGGGATGACTTGGTTGGAGCAAACCGAGTGAGTTAAGGTTTTGAAGGCTCACACCAGCAGATGTATTAAGCCTACTAAATGAATATGGTGATGATGATAAGAACGTATTAGCATGGCTATATTGTCCAGGTGCAGCCAATGTGTGAAGGTCTCTGAACCCATCCTGTGAACCCATCCGAATATTATAAGCAGAATCTTTGCCACCAAACACAGCCGGGATGCTGCCATAGGGAGTTTGAATCAAACTGATCCTTTTCAAGTATAACCTATACTTCTGTAACACATGGTTACTACCAAGAATCACACATACGTTCATGCATGTCTGGTTTCAGAATACTATCATTGTTTTTTATTCATGGTGGATGATATATCAATGAAGTTTTCTTGCTTTGCTGTGGGAAAGAGGAAGTTGAGTAGAACAAAGAGGTGTTTTGAACAAGTTTGTATTTTGTAGGTATGAAGATGAAATTCTTTCTCATTGTCCACATTGTTAGCCCTGTTAGTTTAGTTTTCAATTTATTCGACTCCAACGGGACAGCAGCCCAGCACTCTCTTAGTGTATTCCAAATTGGTGGATAAATTGGTATGATGTTTAATGGTTTTTTCTTTAAGAATGTAAACCACTTAAAGCATACTTAAAATTGTTGTCCATCAATGCGAATGAACTTTTTATGGAGCAGATATTAATAACAAAAGAAAGGTACTGGAAATGGAAAACCAGTGAAATTGAGAAACCTGGAGATGGCTGGCTACATTTTCTCGAGTAAGCCCTTCAACATTCATCAGACCAAGAATCTTCTTAGGAAAAGCTTCTGTTATCAAGAAATGAAGAAGAAAAACACAGATGCAGATGAAGAGGAGAAGCTACATTAATAAGCATCGCAGATGAAGGACAAAGTAACTCACTTTCAATGCCCAGCTGATTAACGGCTGCAACAAACTTCCTATGAAGTTCTGGACGCCAGACGACTCTAGCCTTTTTCTGTGTTGATGGGTCTTCTTCATCATCCTCTCCATTATCACTCTCTCCTTCTTGCTCCTCATCCTTTCTCCTCTTATGGCTGAGTTTTTCATTGTGATGATGAACAGCAGAAGCAGATGACTGGTCCCCCACCAGTCCACTTTCCTCACTTCCACAGTGATGATGATCCCGACCAGACGAGTTGCTCTGGGTAATTTTGGAATCAAACTTCTTTCTCCTGATTACATGCTGCCAAATGTTCCTCAGCTCCTCAATCCTCACAGGCTTCACCAGGTAGTCGCAAGCACCATGAGTAACTCCCTTCATCACAAGCCTGGTGTCACCATTCGCCGACAACACTAGTGGATTGATTTTCAAGAATGTCAAGGCATATTATTGAATTTCAATAATAATAATAATGAATGAGAGATTGATTGTGTGCTTACTAATGACAGGAAGGTCCATCTCAAGACCAACAAGCTCTAACAGTTTGAAACCATCCATGTCAGGCATATGGACATCACTTATAACCAGGTCAAATTTGTCTCTGTTCCCTCTCAACATCTTCAGTGCCACTCTTGCTTGATTTGTCGCGGTTACTGCAAAAAGAATTCCCAGATCATATTCAAGACAAATATTATTAAGTCGATCAGATCATGATGATAAACACACCGTGATATTGACACTTGCTAAGCATATTTTCCAAGAGCTTCAAGCAAACAGGGTCGTCATCGACAGCAAGAATGCGCATTCCCACTGGAAAATCATCCCGGATGTCCTCTCTGGCCCCTCTACAGCCATCAACAGTCATTTCTGGAATAACTAGTTCAGAAAACACAGGTTTCCAAAACCAGGCAGGGAAAGAAACAAGAAACAGAGAACTAGTTGGCAAAGATTTTGAGATTCTGCCACTTTCTTGGGCAGTTTTTCAGGTTACCAAGAAAGCCAATGATGAAAATGATAATGTCAATGAACTCAAGAATTGAGGCCATAAAAGTTCAATGAGAGGTAATTAAATGCAATTCAAGTATTTCTGTTTCTCTTTTTTGAAAAAGGTTTTGATTTTCGAATAATGATGACTTAATAATCCAGGAATCTTTTTACCAAAACTGAATAGGTTACTGTTTTTAACCAAGCGTATTTAATTGAAAAAAAATGCTAGAGTTACAAACAAAACACTTACAAACTTACCAAATATGTAAAATAATGGCCCCAAATAATCAGAAAATGAAAACTTAAATACACAAATCATAAGTTTGTGCATTTTGTGAATATTTTGTTTGTGACTCTAGCATTTTTCAATTTAATTTTTTGCTTTGAGTTTGTGCTTTTTTTTAATACGTATATCTTTAAATTCTTAAGAAAAAAATAAAAAAAAGTTATTTCCAGCATTGGTATATATATGTACATGCGTTACGTTGGAAAAGAGAGAGGTTACACTAGTATACGTCGGAGCATTACCTAATCTATTTTTATCACATTTTTAAATTCTCCATCAGCTTTAAAGAATCTAATTCAAAAAGGATCGTAAGGCTATGATTTGTTTAGAGAAGATCTTAGCCTATACTCCTTCCTTATTTGTAATACGCTTCCTTCTTTTCAATTAATTAAAGTTATTCAACAGTTTTTCTTCCTAAATTAAACAAGTTCCTATATATCATGCATGGGATGTTTGGTGTTTTCGTACATCCGTGCGAATTCTCGTTTTTGGGTAACAGAATATTTATTTCCCATATTTATTTATTTTTGTATGTATTCGAAATACTTGGATTTTTATTTTAATATCTATTCAAAAAAATTGTAGTTAAAATTTATGCAGAGGAGTGAGAAATAATATAAACTATTCAATACTTAATGCATGCTCTTTTTTGTTGGAAAAATAAAATTGAATGTTAGAACAAAAAAAGTTGCAAAAAAAAAACTAGAAATCTAAGAGTTGGAATAAACTGAAAATAGTTAGAAAATAATGTTACTAAATAATACAGCGGAAAGGAAAAATAAAATAAAAACAATTCGAACTTATAAAACGTTCAGATTTTACAACGAGAAAGAAAGGAAATAAATAGGAAAAAGAGATCGTCGGTGGTCGGAAATTGAATAGAGAAGGAAGGGAAGCCGAGCGAACGAACTGCTTCACTGGGGAACGAACGAACTGCTTCACTGAAGAACGAACGAAGTGCTTCACTGGAGAACGAACGACCTAGCAGAGAGAGGGAAGCTAGGCGAACGGTGCCTGCTAAATTTGAGAATGTGTTCCATGTTAATTAATTTTCGTAAAGATGCATAATTAACATGTCCTAGTTTACCATGCCATAAACTAGAGGACTCACACACATAAACAACAGAATTTTTATTCACTTTCTTGGTAATAGTCATTACATTGAGGTTTACAAGTCCATCGGAAATGTAACCTTTCCCCATAAAAATCTCTTTTTTGGATAAGATTAGCTTGTTTGATTCAAACGCCATCCAAAAACCGTGTTTGATTAGCAATGACCCCGACACTAAATTCTTGTGAATGTCTGGCACATAGAACTCGTCATGTAGTGTTAGCTCTTTGCCGGAGGTCATTCTAAGCTTGATCTTACTGATCCCTTGAACCTCTGACTGGGCCGAGTTGCCCATCCAAACTTTGTCACCAGAGGTCTCTTGAAATTCATGAAACATGCTCCGATTGGAGCAAATATGGCATGTGGCTCCTGTGTCCACACAAACCATTCCTTGGGGTTTGACCTGACGAGATTCACCTCGGTGACAACTGCACACAGGTCCAAGTTGTCGAGCTCTGCGCACATGGCCTCGGTCTTCTTCTTGTTCTTTTTCGGCTTCTTTTCCCTACAGTCGGAGGAGCGATGCCCGGTAATGCCATAATTGTAGCACTTCCCTGCAAATTTGGAAATGCCACCCTTAGGACCTATCTTCTTTTTGTCCTTCCACCATGTGAGGAGCCCGAAAGATGTTCTACCACATTCGCCTTCACCTTCCACCTCTTCTGGCAAGCCCTTCCTCTTGGATTCTCAATCGTGTGAGCAGTTGTTCCATGCTCAGCTCAGTTCTCTTGAGCTTGAGATCAGCTCAGAAGTCTTCCCAAGAGTGTGGAAGTTTGTGAGTGATGGCCGCCACTTGGAAGGCCTCACTGACACCCACTTCTCTTCATTGCACTTATTGAAGATTGTCGTTAGCTCTTCGGCTTGGGCGAGAATTGACTTGTTGTATACCATTTTGTAGTCCAGCATCTTTCCGACAATGAACTTCTTCGTGCTGGCATCTTCAGTTTGATACTTCTTATTCAATCTGTCCCAAAGCTCCTTGGCAAGCTTTGAGTTGGCATAGACGAGGTATAACACCTCAGACAACCCCTCGAGAATGTAGTTGATGGAGAGGTAGTTGTTATGGTACCAAGCTTGATTCCCTTTCGCCACGAAGGGGTCATTGCTATTGTTCTCCTGGGGAGGATCTTGCTGTAGGTACTCAGCAAATCCCAGGACGGTAAAAAAGAACATTTTTTGTTGCCACAGCTTGAAGTTCGTGCCATTGAACTTCGGTGGCCTCTAGACCGTGCTTGCGGGCACTGATATCGGTCCAACTGCATTGGGCGTATGGAGGAAAGGTCCATTCGAAACCCAATGAGGTCCGACGAACGGATTGACCGGTGCATTGAATCCCGCGTTCGGTCCCATATTCACCATTGTGGCTGAAGCCGTAGTCGGTCCGAGAAATGGGTTCGTATTACTAACGGAGTAACCCCCATGGTTTCGAGCCCGGGAATGGATCGAGGAGCAGACCCAAAGATCGAGCTCGACATTGAGAAGGAAGTCATGGTGAAGGGTAGCGGTGAGGAAGGCACGACCATGGCGACTGATGAAGTTCCCACCGGTACTTCGAAACTCATTTCGTTGCTGGAGGAACCCACGATGCCGAATCCGAACTCCATGTTAGTACCTTAAGATTGTTACTAAATGAATGGAAAAATAAAATAAAAAGTATCCAAACTTATAATACGTTTGGATTTTACAACGAGAGAGAAAGAAAATAAATAGGAAAAAGAGATCACCGGTGGTCGGAAACTGAACAGAGAAGGAAGGGAAGCGAAACGAACGAACTGCTTCATTGGGGAACGAACGAACTACTTCACTAGAGAACGGACGAACAGCTTCACTAGAGAACGAACAGCCTAGCAGAGAGAGGGAAGCTGAACGAACGGTGCCTAAGAAAGAAACGTTTAAGGAAATTGAAGTCGCCGGAACTTTCCTTAAGGTAGTATCGCCCGCCTCCCGCACAGCTAACGTGGACGATCTCCTCCCAAGATAAAACTGCTACGTGCAAGGTCTAGGGCGGTAGAATCATGCACTGACGAACGAGAACGACGGAGAAATATTTGCTGGAAAACTGATCGGAACGAGAGAGTGTTGGAATATATTCGAGTTCAAATTCTTCTGCTTCTCTCTACAGCATAAGCCCTCCTTATATAGGAGTGAGACGGACTGGATGGACGGATATTACGAGGAGTCCAGTGACTCTTCGTAAATGCATGCATGCTAATTACTCTGTCACTTTGTTATTAATGATTTAATACTTCGTTATTAACGAAGCCAACACGTGTTCGATTCGGTCTCGTAAAAAGATAAGGGTTCGGCCCACGCCCTCGCCATGACGCGTCGTGGCACGCACGCACACGCCACACGCAACCCACGCGCTAGAACCGCTACATGCAAGGTCTAGGGCTGTAGAACCGTGCACCAACGAACAAGAAAGACGGAGAAATATTTCCCATAAAACTGATTGGAATGAGAGAGTGTTAGAATATATTCGAGTTTGAATTCTTGTGCTTCTCTCTGCAGCATAAGGCCTCCTTATATAGGAGTGGGACGGGCTGGACGAACGGATATTACGAGGAGTCAAGTGACTCTTCGTTAATGCATGCATGCTAATTACTCTGTCACTTCTTATTAATGATTTAATACTTCGTTATTAATGAAGCCAACACATGTTCGATTCGGTCTCGCAAAAAGATAAAGGTTTGGCCCATGCCCTCGCCACGTCGCAATGCATCGCACGCCACACGCCAACACGCGTCGTGCCGAGCTGGACAGACGGCGGCGGCGGGGGTGTGCGAGGGCTCTTTGGTTCTCCTCCATAAATTGCTTTTACAATATTGTTAAAGACTAGCATTTAAATGGAGGAAGTTGAAAGGTTTCAAATCTGATGTGAGATACGTGGGTTTTTCCTCTTCCAAATGAACGACTTTGTGAATTAATTTCTCATTCACTCGAGCACCAATTTTGGCGCACAATATATCGAAATACTCGTCTCATTTAAAATAATATTCATCCATAATTATTTTTTAAAAAATATATTTATGGCTCCTACCAAATTTACGTCCAAAGTTGTCCCGTTATGTGTCAAAATTCCAACAAACAATGTATACTCTATTTGTTTAATTATGTCACACGTATTTATTTCATGTTTGTTAGGGGTGACTACTTGCCTTGGAAATTTGAATTGATAAGGGCATGTCCCGCTAGGGTTGTGAACAAACCGAATCGAATCGAATATTCATGAAAAATATCCATATTCGTTAAGATGGAGTGATATTCGAATTCGAATTCGGTTCGAACATTTTTTAAGATTCGTATTCGGTTCGTTTTATATATTAAACATATTCGGTTCATTTAAATATTCGATTCGTTTAAATATATTCGGTTCGTTTGAAAATATTCAATTCATTTAGATTTTAAAATATTTTATAACCATTTGATATATATATATATATATATATATATATATATATATATATATATATATATAGGGGCCGGTTCAGGTAAGAATGCACCTTGGTGAAAGAAATAAGAATAAAATCTAGCCTTTGAATCTGATGCATCGTGCGGCTCAGATTGCATCCTGCACTCAGATTTTGAGATAGTGCATTTTCAAAGGATTTTGATGCATTTCGACATAATGCATTTTCAAACCATTTTGGTGCACATAATTTTGATGCAATCCTGACCCTTAGATCTCACAATCAAAAGCACCAGATTCATTCTTATTTCTTTCATAAGATTGCATTCTCACCAGAACCTATATATATATATATATATATATATATATATATATATATATAAAATTTGTATAATTAGATTTATATTCCGAATATATTTCTCAAACTCACGAATCGAATACCCTTGATTCATATTCGTATTTGATAAGGTTTCGAATATTTATTCAGATTCGTACTCGTATTCGGATTTGAAAAAATCGAATACGAATCACCTTAAACGAGTACGAATCACGAATCGAACAAAAAATATTCGATTCATTTACAACCCTATGTCCCGCTACTTTATATTTGTACTTTCTATTGACTTTGGCCTTTTAGTGACATATTTACACTTCACCGAAAAAATTATGTCACGCTATTTTTTTAAAACCATATGTATAATACTTCACGGTATTCCGTAATATTTCTATAACATATACATTACTTCTTTTTCTTGGACTTTTTCACAGTGATTTCAAAAATAATTTTTTCTTGCTTTTTAATGTGATAAAACTTGTTGTACACCAAGATTTGTACACCACTTGTATACTAAGTGTATCACAGACACACACAGACAATAATTGTGTATGCACCCCACAGACGATTCTTGTATGTTTTTGTTTGTGTGTGTCTATGATACCCTTAGTGTACAAATAGTGTGTAAACTTTGGTGTACCCCTAGCACAACCTAAAATAGCATTATGCCACTAACTCATGTTCCAAACCAAAAGAGCATAGCCTAAAATAGCTTGATTTTAGGGGCTAACATTTTAAGTGCTGCACAACCTACAGAAGCAAAAAGATGCAGTCTTTCATGTTAATCGGTTTAGTCGTTGTGCCCACGCCTTAGAGGGGGAGTGAATAAGGCATTTGAAAACTTTTCGGAGTTTAATAAAAACGGTGTTGGCAAATGCGGAAGCAATATATAAAACGCATAAATAAAAGCGTAAATAAAATGCACACCGATTTTATACTAGTTTGGTGTTAGGGGTGAACTCCGTAAATAAAAGACTCCTCCTCAAGGATTTCCGAATCCACTAAGTCCCGGTCTCTTGAACTCCGTCAAAGCACCGCACTAGTTTGGCAAACAACCCTTGCCAATAGGATTCACTCCGAGATTTCAC